AAAAAAAAAAATCAATGGAAAAATATCCTCAGGTGAAGATTAACAAAGAAACAAAAACAAATAAAAATGATGAGCCCAGCAGGAGCGGCTCAGTTGATTGTGTGTCATTCTATGCACTGAAAGGTTGCCAGTTCCAGTCACGGCTCACAGGGAAGGTTACTGATCAGTGTGTGTGTGTGTGTGTGTGTGTGTGTGTGTGTGTGTGTCTCCCTTCATCTCTCTAAGCATGTCCTCGGGTGAGGATTAAACAACAACAAAAAGATGATAAAATCTAAACGTAGTTATTAAATATAATTCTGCCAACTCCTTTGCCCCAACTATATACCTCTTAGCAACATAATAAAGCTTCAAAGTTTAATTTAACCACTTGACAACACAGTGTAGTATTGTAAAAAAACTTCATGAAAGGGCAAACTTTTCACCAATAACTGATGAGTAGATTAAATGAATCAAAGAATGAATGAAATATCCGGAGTTTTTCATTAAAAGTAATTCAATTCAAAGGATTATATCTTATTCTGAAACTTTCTTATGTGTTAACCCAGCTGATATCTTTTATAAAATGATGACACAAGTGGTGCTATTTTACACATTCCTTATGTGGCAGAATAAAAATTTTACAACTCTCAGCCTATCTCTCCAACTTCCACCTTTTGGCGGGGAGGGGAGCTACTGGTCATGAAATAGAGACGTTTGGGATCAAGTGAAATCCAAAAAAGAACAGTGGAGTGGGATCCTGCAGATATGGGTTCCAGAGTCAATTATGACACTAATTAGTTCGGTCCTGTTCTTCTAATCTGCAAAACCAGGGTCTTATACTAAAACTATATTCCCTTAATATGCTTATAAGCTCTGACTTGTGAGTCTTACCCTTATCGTTTGAAAGCCGTCCTGTCATCTACACAACTTCCAAATGGACATGACAGGATGCAAGCTCGGGGTGCAAATACAGGAAGCCCAAATCCCATTTATAAACAAACCACACCACCCTGTGGTCCTCAGCCCCGGGATAACCCAACGCTGCAGGATACTCTCCGCAGCCCCGCCCAGACCCCAAGCTCTGTTACTCTTTGGCAAACAGCTCCCGGAGGCGGTCCCATCCAGACTCCAGGGGTTGGGGTTCTGGGTCGTATGAAGACGGTAGCTTCCGGTCCTCCACAAGGACCTCCGGGTCGGCGGCTACAGAACTGGTGGCCACGGCCTCCGCAGCAAAGACCCGAGGAAAAGGACCCAGCGCCCAGAGGATGCTCCTCGGCGCCCGCGGCCGCTCCTCCATGGCCGTCCCCGAACCTGCGGACAGACACCAGCTTGGTGATCGGGGCGCGCGGCCCCTCGGGGACGCCGTGGGAGGACAGCCAGGAGAAGTGCAAGAACGAGAGGGTGAATGCCCGTGCCCGGGTGCGGACTTTTCCACGTCACGGGTCCTGACCATCGGGACCCGGCTTCACTTTGGAGGTCCTTGGACACACGAGACAGGAAGTCCTGCCCCAACCAGGGCAAAGGCCAAGGGGCGGGGCGACGGCGACAGCACTTCCGGTAGGAGGCGGGACGGAACTCAGGAGTCCGGAAGTGAGTTAGCGGAGAGTAGCCACGCTCAGCGCCCCCGGCCCCGCCCCCGCCCCGGCCCCGCCTCCCAGGGCTACACGGGCCAAGAGTCCTCGCGTCTCCGGCTGGTTCCAGGCGGCAGATGTCGCAGATTGGCATAATTTAACGTATTTAAACACCAGAAAACCCACAGAGATGAATAGGAAAGTGCAATAGTCAATACAAGGGGAGCACGGAGAGAGGAATTTTGTGCAAATGCAAGCCCAACCCACCCGATCCCGGCAGGAGGAGCCGCCTGGGCTAGGTCCACACACTCCTGCAAGTTCTGGTTTCCAGAGGAACGGAGGCATGGAAGAGAAGTCAGGTACGCTGAGATTGCAGAACACTGTTTTGAATAGTCAGCTTTGGGCAGTTCCTCACAAGATGATGCATCCCCAACCCTTAGTTCCTATACCTACTGCTTCTCACAAGACAGGACAGTTTCTGGAATTTCCAGCAGGTGTGCGTTTGATAGTGCAGCAATAATTTTCCATCAGTGCAGCCTCTGCTAACATATGCTTCGAAGTAAAGTCTTTATTAAAATGCACGTCTTAAAAATAGTCTCATCTGGTGTGTGTGCTTCCATTTAATCTCTGCTAGCGACCCAATATAGCCTCTTATATTTGCCAATCCCTACCCTTCCTTTATTCCTTTCTAGATGCAATTCAGCACTTCTACACCCCTTATTAAATAGAATTCTGGAATGTAATAGCTGGTGTGTAGAGCAAGAGCAGAGCAGACTTTTTGGACACTTTTCAAGAATCCAGTGTGGAGTCACTGTCAGCCATGGCTATTATGTCAAGAGTCATGATGCCCAGAACTGAGGTAATGGGGTGAAACAAGAATGCCCTTAGGGTGGTCCTGGAACGTCCCAAAACACAAGGATGAAACCTCAGAGAAGGACTTCATCTGGACATTGATATGAGTGGGACCCCCCCACCACCACCACCACCACCACCCGCTGTGGGCTCTAAGAACTAGCTTCCACCATCTGACGCTCAAGCTTGGCTGTACCAGGAGTCGCACTTGGAGCCCGAAAGGACTTCTGCTCCACCAGACCATGTCGCCCCTGTAGCTGCCTGGCTTGAGCCCTATGCCTGCCTCTCCGTCCACAGCCCCCACTAGTGATCAGGACTTAGCACGAGTGTTTACTATGCTCCTTGCTATGCTTGCTCTATCGTATAAGCTCCCCTTTCCTGCGTGTAACCTCTGTGTAACCCTCTTGGCTCCTTGGGGAGGTCTCCTCTAATAAAGCTGGCGTTGTGGAAAGACCCAAGCATGTGTGACCCGTTTTGGGGATGCTCCCTTGCTCACTTCAGCTGGAATTTCATAGGTAAGTCCAGAGAAATGATGGACTAGACTAGCTGAATTAGTGACAATGCCAGAAAGATTTCTTTAATGTCTGGGAGACAGGATTAGATTCAGCTCCCATCATAACACTTACTACATTGCATCACAACTTCCTATTCGCTGTCTTGGTAGACTAGCTTTGAGGTCAGAGACCACATATATTCATCTCTATGTGCAGGACCCAGCACAGTGTCTGACAGACAAGGCGTTGAACCAAGAATTCAGATCCCCTGACTCCTGGCTCTGGCTCTAGGTTGCTGATTATCACATATAGGCTCAGGTGGGCATCTGAAAGCCCAAGAAAATGGATGTGCACTCTTCATTGTCTACATGTAGAAAAAGCTAAATACTTAAGATGCTCTATCCCAGAATCATTCTGAGATGAGGGAAGACTTTGATCTGTTGGGCAGGTGTGTTGGGCAGATACTAGTGAATTTATACACAGCTCACATGTTCCCAGGACTTCCTACATTGTAGGTGCAAAGGAAGTCATATTAACCAGCAAATTTCACTAACTCCATAGCTGCCTTTTCCCTTGGGTAACTGGAGTTTCATTTGTAAGGTTCCCTTTGCCGGCCAGTACCTCAAGTAGTTCCTAGAACCTTGGCCACTGCTTACTTATTTCATCTCAGCTCCTATGTATCTGTCACGCTTCCACACTCCTGTTTCTCCAAGCCCCTGGGTTTTACTCTCTTTTACCACCAGGGAAATACTCTCCTTACTCTGTGGTCTGGTTTTTGAAAGGTCTCAGAGCAATGATAAACCAAAAAGTATTATGAGGTGTAGGTGGGCCACTTTGTTTAACATACAGCTCTCTCCTCCCCAGGATGTGCATTTGCCACCAGAATAAAGAAATCCAGGAAGGATTTTAATACAGTCACATTGTGCCTGGAACTACCATTCTCCTCCCCTCAGTCCTCATTGCTGAGTTCTGCTCATAGAACTCAATAGCATCTTCCCCCATCATGAACTTTCTCCCAGGGGTCAAAAGACTTCCATTCCCTGCCAGGTTCACTAGGTACTGCCCGTGTGACATTAGTCTGTTGTATTACATGTGACATAAACTGTTTTCATAGATAGAATGAATTTGGAGAACTCCCAAGAACCACTTCATTTACTCATCCCTCAGAGCATAATTCAATTTTCACCTCCATGAAATTTCACTGCTGCACCAGACGAGGATTCCTTCTTCCTCTAAACTCCAAAGCCATTGTCTTTATGAATAATTGGCCTTATAAACTGACCTCATGTCATTTTAATCACCTTCTTTAGGATGCCTCTACTATTGTTATCATCTCAACAACAGAACTCCTTTGTGATAGGGAGCCTACTGTAAACATTTTCTTATCTCCCACTGTTTGTGCACAGTAGATGCTCAAAAAGTATTTGATAAATATTACAGGAATAATTATAATTATACCCCTCTGTCTCACTCACACTTTATCTCTGGATGCAGTAGACTTATCTAAAGTGAAGGCATCTTTAGATGCCTGGGAAGATGGGTTTGTATGTATGTGTGTTCTTATTCATTATCAGTGTAGGGGTGAAGGACAGGGATATCCTCTTTGGAGCTGACCCAAAAGGAGCCCATTGTTTTTTCTCTTGGGAATATTAGGCTGAGAGAGAGCCTGGCAGATTCTGGAACTATACACAGTAGCACTCTAGAGATAGTCCAGAACTCTTCTGAGATTCCTGGAGTTGCCTTGCTCTCTACCCTTCCAACTGCTATGGACCTTGTTAAGATTCTTTAAGATGCCTTCATATCCTTTTAATACATTTTTTTGCTTAATCTAGCTGGAGGCTGTTTCTGTTCTCAGCAACTAGGAGAGCTTGGCCTAACAGGGGAATAGGTGGGCCACTGACAACATCACACAAATCATACTTGCCAAATAAAGAAAGGAAAAGCATTACCTGTCTTATCCAAGTATCCCACTTCATTCAAATAAACTAAATTATACTTTTTCCTTGGGGGAAAAAAAAAAGAGTGGCCTTTAGCTCACTGAGGAGGAAGGGGTAAGTTTGGGACCCAGCTAGTATTAACAATAACAAACAACCATCAGAAGTTATAGGGATAAAAATTATTTTCAAAAACATACATTTTACATATTGTTACACACCATCCTCATACCATCTACACTGAGGTAAACAGGTAAGTATAAAAACCGAGTAACATTTGCTGTATTTAAATACAAAGATGCCCTGATTGACTTTGCAAAGGGCAGATGGCAATTTGCATTGTTCCAACTGTTAGTCTCACACAGTCCCCCTTTGGAGCCAATGGCCAGGCAATCTGTAGATAGGATCTAGTTAAGCCAACTGTCTCCATCCATACACCCATTCACTGAGTCACCGTTCCAAAAATACTTCAGGGTCTACTCTGTGTGAGGCACTCACTGTACTGGATAATGGAGACATCAAGATGAGTAAAACATGATTCCCACCCATCAGGAAGCTCGCAGAACAGCAGTCAAATAACTACAGTACAATGTGATGTCATAATACAGGCATGAGCAAAATATTGCCTCTAACTGCCTAGAGGAATGAAAGAAAGGCTTCAGAGAAAAGGTGATGCTTGAGCTAGAACTTGAAGCAAAAGGGAAACACTCCCAGAAAAATGTACTTTCAGCTCCTAATCCAAAGGACAGAAAATTTTGTTCCTAGTTTAGTGAGAGAAAAAGTAAAATACGAAATAATGACATCTATTAGGACCTCATACGGACAAGGCAAAACCATAATATATATAACTCATAAATCTGGAGCTCTTATCACTACACTAATAGCACCTAAGGACACAATCCCCATTAATTTTTCATGCTAAAAAAGTTCAACTTTAAATGTCTGGCTTATTCCACACAATGGTCTTACCAGTGATATTTAACTCCTCTAAGAAGGTCTTTATGCTTAAATTTTTGTGGAAGGAAGTTTAAAAGGCCATTTCTCACAAAGAGAATAAAATCCTGATTTTATATGACTGAATCTCACATTTACTAATTTTGAAACCAATTTATACCAATCTGTTCTTAGGAGTCAGAGGGAAAGAACTGATTCCTCTGCAGAAAGGTTGGGCTTAAGGGACAAGGATGGTTCTAAGTCATCAGACTATATGAGTTTCAAGCTAACAATTTTTCTTCATTTTTGACTGTTAGCAAGAACATCCTGAGAGATTAAACTAGTATTTAATAGTAAAAAAGGGGAAAAGCAGATCCTGCAAGACAGTGAGAATGTGGACTGCTGCCAATTGAAGGAGGAAAAATATTAGGGATGGGCAAAGAGTGAAGAGTTGCTGTCCTATGCACAGTTCCTTCAAAGAGTGAGGACTCCTTCCTAACTTGATTAAGAGGTTTATGTATTTTTTTTTTTAGAGACCATAAAAAGAAGGGTATGAAGGCACAAAAGGAACTTGAGATCCAATTGCAATTACTCATGCAACTGGTCCCTTTCTATATGGCATTATAGAAACCTCCTGAGTACCAAAGAATTAATGCTTTTACAGAAGGGGACTCCTGTGTCAGTGCATGGCACAACTACTGCTTCCTTAGACCTTTCAAAAAATAATCCCCAAGTGCTTTTCACAAACCCTAAAGACTGAGCTTCCTACATTAAAATATAGCATCAAAGTTCAAGCCTAGAGTAACTGCAGAATTGCGGCGATGAGTTGTACTAGTTCCAAATGATTGAGTTTCTGCTCCAAACTGTGGCACAAAGAACATCATCCCATGGACACAGTCAGGTTCACAGTGATGTACATAGAGATGTGGATGACCTGAGGCACAAGCTGTGATTGGTCCTAAGAAAATGAAAGGTAGAATCGGGTACAAAACCCAATATCATGATTTCTGGTCCTTGTTCAGCCAAAGCGTTGAACTGCTTCATATCTGTGTTATACACATTTTGGATCTTTCTCGAGACTTGCTCTGGGTGCAGCATGACAAGGAAAACAAGATATTTGTCTTGGTAACAGTATTCAAGGTATAGGTACTACATTCATGGTAAGCTTCCCACCACAGGATATCTCAGATCTGCTGCCCTAGAGAGGACTTGATCCGATGATGGCTATTAGAGTTCAGTTTTCAAAATTTTGGGAATAATCTGATCATAGCCTTTTCTTCTTGTTACATTATAGGACAGGAATTTAGAGTATTCAGTCAACAGGTTCTCCCAGTAACAGGTGATGTCATCCATCCTCAAGTGGTTCATAATAAAATGGCTTCCTCTAGAGACAAAATTAACAAGAACTTTTAAAGCACAGCATTTAGTAGTACTAATAGCTTATAATTGAGTGCTTACCTGTGCCAAGCACTGTTCAGAGTACTGTATATGATTTAACTCTTTTGATCTTCAGAACCAACCCTCTAGCCATCATATCCACACATGTGCACTTAGCAATAGAACTTAAATTTTTTTCTTAAAAACAAACATATAAACATTGAGTACTCAGTTATCTCAATAATTTAAGTCTACTTCTATAAAATATGGACTTGGGACATTTGTGAATGTGTTCTTTTCTCCCCAGAGCTGCTTTAATTTGGATTATCTCTGCATAATAAAGATCTAATCCAGTTATCACCATGGTAACACTATTAATATAACTTTGCTAGGGCAAAATAGGAATGATAAAGTGGACAAGGAAAAATGAACAGAACTTACCTTTCAGCGATTTCTTGAGCTATGTCATCATTTGCTTTTACAAAATGCAATAGTTCCCTAAAATGGAAAGGATTATTAGACTCTGAAATATAGAACAAGCTTATTAGCACTAAATCAGAAATACCATAGATTACAGTTCATCTCTAGGTATGTGGATGGTAGATTTTTTTTTAAAAGGAAGATTCAGAGTCCCCACAGGAAAAGTAACAACAAAAGTCCCCCCACACACTAAAGGCAATGTGTTCTAGTTTTGGGTCATATTTGAGAAAATAGAGAAACGTTCAATAACACACATCAAAAATCCATAGTGAAGAAGACACTACCCTCCTGTCTCCTGCTCTGGCCCCTTATGTTTTGGGCCCCTCTCCTTCCCTCTTTCTAGCTCCTCCCATCATGAGAGGAAATTTTTCTCAGCTTCATTGGGGGCAATTCTCATGCTGTATCAGAAAGTTTCTTAGACAATATAATCATATTCAACATCCCTATCTCCAGTCTTTGAGAGATTAGAGTTTTTTCACTGCGTACTGTCTGAATGTTACATTTTGAACCAGCACTAGAGCACTTTTTCAAATGAAATCCCACTGATAGCCTAGTTGGATAAAAGTTCAATAATATCTATGTGAACCGAATAAGAAAGAAAAAGCTCTTAATGGAAAAAGTCATCAGGAGTAAATGGCTTAAGTGGCTGGGGACTTAGAGGCAGATTACGGGAGGGACTGGAATCTCAGCTTGGGAGAGAGTAGCTTACTGGACATTGGAGAGATCTGTTTTGACTGGGATATAGTGAACCCACGGCTTCAGCTGTGGATAGAAGAATTCCAGCCACTCGTCACCAACGTGGAAAACCAGTGAACCACACAGAAAGAGGTGCTTGAACCGGAAACTTGCAGCTACACCTCGAAAATTAAACAGATACCTGAGAAAGAAAGAGCAGAATACACTTGGTACTACATACTTGCTGCCACAAAGAACCTTTTTATTTTCTTAATCCCTTCTCCCCTTCTATGACCCCTCTTCCTTCTTCTTCCATTTTGATTTTTCAAGGACACATCAGCATGTCCCTATGGAGTTTCCATAAACTCCTTGCTTTTCAAGGGGCTACAGGTTGTTCTAATAAATGTCAGGATGAGAGGGAAGGGGGATACTTTCTCCGGGCAAAGCTAGATAGGGCCAGGAGCTGGGTGCTGAGTAGAAAGGATACAAAGGCTCAGATGGAAATGATACCTCATACTTTCCTATAAGCTAGCTAGGCCTCATATCTCTAACTCATCATGCCCACCCCTAGCCTTGTTTCCCCCATAGGGTATCCCATCTGGTCAAAAGCATACCCAGTTCCCTCTTCTTCTGAAGTCTGGAGAGGACAACCAGGTATGCCTAATCAACCTTCAAAGAAATACCTCCTGTAAAAAAATCTATCTTAGCCCTAGCCGGTTTGGCTCAGTGGATAGAGCGTCGGCCTGCAAACTGAAAGGTCCCAGGTTCGATTCCAGTCAAGGGCACATGCCCAGGTTGTGGGCACGATCCCCAGTGGGGGACTTGCAGGAGGCAGCCGATCCATGATTCTCTCTCATCATGGATGTTTCTATCCCTCTCCCCATCTTCCTTCCTCTCTGAAATTAATAAAAATATATATTTTTTTAAAAAACCTATCTTAGAAAAAACATTTTCTTTTCAACATGTCTCATGCATGCACCTCTGTCTCCAACCACCGTTGCTCCTCCCTATAGTTCCCACTGTGCGCTGTAATCAGCATTCATCTCTCTGAATCCCCCCAGCATCCCGTTCCTGATCTGGTTTTACCTGTTCTAATTCCTAGTCCTGGCATTTAAATATTTTAGTTATATATGCTTTATTCATGTTGACCCTTAAACTGTGTTATTAACCTGATAAATACGTCATCTAACTTCAGCTGTTGACTGGGTGGGGTGTGGAGAGAGAGAACCCCATCACCCTGATTAGCACACAGTCCTTATGGAAGCAGGGACCATATTTCATTATCTACACAGTTTCCCACAGAACTTAGGCCAGAGCCTTGTGCACAGCATGTTCTCAGTAAATAAGAGTTAAATGAATTACTGCAACTTTCATAAATCCCAGCTGGGCCCTGGCATTGAAATTCTCACCGAAGTGCAGCTCTCCCAAAAGCAAAAGGGAAACCGAGAGTCAGGAGTCCGGGAAGTCTTACTTGTATTTGCAGTGATCCACAAGATGGACATCTTTAGCAGCTGGCTTTCCCAGGGTATCCTTTAAGTGAAAAGGAATATTAGTAATAGTAGCATTTATTGAAGACCACTGTGCAGCCAGCAAGGTAAACATTTCAAGAACATGATCTCATTTAAGTCTCATAATAAACATACTCTGGAAGTATTATTACCCCATTTGCTAGATGAAGAAGCCGAAGCTTTGAGAAGCTAGATTTGCTCAGGGTCACATGTCCTAAATTGTAGAGGTCATGGCCTACAGCAATATTTCACTCTATGTAATCGCGACACGCAGGAGGTCACAAGTGGTAGTTGTTGGGCTTAGAGGTGTAAACCACCCACAAATTCTGTTGGCCATGCAAAGTTTTCAAGTAAATATTCAAACCACTGCTAACACTTACAGGTAGTAGGATAGTCCTTACAAATATCCAGATTTTCGGCTTTTCTTGTAAAGAGAAAGAAGATGTGATAAACTGGGCACCTATCCCCCTCGAGAACAATGACTGGACCTTTAGCGCTTACTCCTGTGGCCCCTGGGGCCTCTGCAGCTGAGACCCCCCCTCCCACCCCCATCTACGCATGCTCCAGCCACCTGAGCAGATGGCAAACTAGTTGATGAGGGGAACAAGGCCTGTTTGCTTCTGCAGCCTCCTACAGTAGCTGCTCTGCTGAATGGATACATTTTTTTTCGTATTTTTTATTTTTCCACAAAGCTTCTTAAACTTCATTTGCACCTGTTTGATTAAAACTATCCTATAATAAATATACCCATCTTAAGGATCTACTTCGTTTTTCATACAAGAAGTTTAAAATTTTTTCTCATATCATGTGGAAGTTTCAGATGAGTACATTTCAGGCTTAAAGTCCTTTGAATAAGGCAAGAAGTCATAGAGTTAATAGGACAGAGATGGGCTCCAAACCAAAGCCAATCATTGCTGGCTTCACCTTAGAATAGTTGGAGAGTTTTAAACAAATCAAGATGAGATTCTCATTTATTTGAATCATTTTTAAGCTCTCTGGCTGGACTCTATAGTCAGGGTTAAAAACCACTGCTTTAAAACAGGGGTTGGCAGACTACAGTCCATAAGCCAAATCCAGTTTATTATTTTTTTGTATACAACCCATAAACTAAGAATATTTTTACCTTTCAAATGATTGCAAAAAATCCAAAGGAGAATATTTTGACACATGAAAATTACATAAAATTCAAATTGCAGTGCCATAAAGCTTTATCAGCACACAGCCACGCTCATACATTCACACGTTTTTTATGGCTGCTCTCGTGCTCACGATCCACAAAGCCTAAAAAATTTACCATCTGGCCCTTTACATAAAAAGTTTGTGACCTCTGGTTTAAACCTTCAAAATAGCATAAAATACTACTCAGAACATGGGCCAGAAAAGCAATGTGAGTTTGAAAAAGAGTAATTTACATGTGTGCTAATACTAGTTCATGGAACTTCCTCTACATTCTTCCCATAACGGACAGGAAACCTAATCTGAAATTCTACCCAGGTGGCAATGTTCTTTGAGTGAGAATGTTCGCTGCTTTAGTTTCTATTCAGATGATTGGTGATTACTTTCATAGACTTCCAGGCCTGGTTTTTGGTGTACTCTGCATCAACAAGTTTTGGATTTTTCCGAGATAGAAGAATGAGAGGATCTCGTTCTGGACTTGTCCTATAAAAGAAACACATGACATAAAACTATGTGTTCTACACCATAATACTGTTCCCAATCTCTGGAAGGTAAGCAGTCATTGGACCCAATGCAACTCAGGTGGACAACTCACTGGTCACTTTAATAGCAGAGGAGGGGGATATTGGATACTGCAGCCTCTAGGTGGTCCTGGGCTGTCCCCACTTTACCCTTCAGGGATGAGAATTTGGTCTTTCTTTGCTTGCACCTAGTTTTTAAGATTATGATGTTCTGGTCACTACAGCCATATCCCAGGGAATGATTTCCCTTTTAGGAGGGTTCATGTAGCCTCTATAATCAATAGTACCCATAGCTGTGTGACTATGTAATCACCACTCACCAAAATAGCTGCATGACCTTCGTTGTGTGTGCTCTGTAAAGTCTATATAGTATTTAAATGAAAAAGAAAACAAAAAGGCTTAAAACCCTAAGATTATATGGAGAAAAAGTCCTTGCTAAGTGATCTTGACATTGGGGGGTGTCATGGACCCCCTGAGAATGTGATAAGAACTATGGACTCCCCTCTCTAGAAAAAAATGCACATATCCCCCTGTAATTTCAAGAAAGTCCTAAAACCTTTGAAGTCCGCACATGGATCCCACGTTAAGAATCTGTGATCTCCAGACTTGAGCATCAGAGAAGTTGATAAGGAACAGTAAGCAGTGGCTGAAGCTCAGAGTCTCTGATGAGGACTCACTGAGAAAATGGCAAAACCCTCTCTTCACAGTCTCTTCTGTATTCATCTGTTCAACACACATTCATTATGTGTCTACGTGGCAGATGCTGACCTTGACACTGGGGATATGGAGCTGGACACGGAAGAGGTCCTTCCCCAACCTTTCCCTTTCCCTCTTCCTCTCCGTTTTTACAGTTTCGGTCTGTGCTCTCAACCACTATGTGGCAGCCACATGGTCTGATGAAAAAAGCAGTCAGGAGGTCCACTGATGGTATTAACCGGCAGAGTGACTGATCACAGCTACTCCTAGGAAACTGTCATCGCTCAGGCAAGAAGACAGCTCATCTTTCCGTTCAACGTTATATACTCAATGCCCATCACCAGTGGCACTCTGCAAATATCTGTTGAATTACTGGGTAAACTTCAAATTTCAGTTCAATTAAGAGTGCTTTGGGCAAATAATTTGAGTTCTTACCTAGTCTAAAATTCTGTGATTCTATGTTTATGTCTTAGTCTTCTTTGTGAGATAGAGTTTGCTACATCCTCAAAATTACTTACATTTTACACATTAACTGTAAGAATATCTTTGTAAAATGTCCAAAAATATAATCACCTCGATCCTCGGAAATATGCTGTGGAGTTTTTCTTTTTCCATGGCCACTGTGCTGCTGACCTGAAAATAGATTTTGATTAGTTTCTGTGTTTTCTTCTTAACTTTATAAGGATGTGTTCTAACCATTTCTGAGGATAAGTTCAGAGCTTTACATTTTTAAATAAGTCTGAGCCAGGCTATTCAAAAGAAAAATCTCGCCTTGGCCAGTTTGGCTCAGTGGATAGAGCGTCGGCCTGCGGACTGAAGGGTCCCGGGTTCGATTCTGACCAAGGGCACATGCCTGGGTTGCGGGCTCGGTCCCCAGTGGGGGGCGTGCGGGAGGCAGCCAATCGATGGTTCTCTCTCATCGTTGATGTTTCTATCTCTCTCTCCCTCTTCCTTCCTCTCTGAAATCAATAAAGAAATATATTTTAAAAAAGAAGAAGAAAAAGAAAAATCTCTAAATGGCATGCTGTTCCTTTTTGGTATTACTTCATTCCTCTGAAGGTGTTAGCTCATAATATCTACAAATCTACCGCTCCATTACTAAGTTGACAACGTTGAAAGAAAAGTTCCCAAACACTGAATGACATGTTTAGGGCTATTTAATTCAGAGGATTTCTTCCCTACTTTAAGTAGAGTGCTGTCGATAAATTAACATACAGATAGGACTGCAGAAAATATCAGAAATTGAATTAAGGGCAAGAAAACAAATCATGTTTTGGAGACATAGGAGATGTCGTTAGATTTCGTCTGATTTTGCAAAGCACCCTGGCATTCTCGAAACTGTACTAAGTGCTCCACAAACATGAAGTTCCTGAAACTCAGTTCTCGGAACACACATTACCCCGACCAGCTCTCCTTGCTGAACCTACTAGCTCACAGACATAGCATTCTTAACTTTCTTCGTAGGAACCCTGCACAGAAGTTTTTCAATGTCTTCCTCTGAAAATGGAGGAGAGGGCTCAACTGGAGTTAAAGAGGGCTTGCTGGTCTATATTGGTGAAATGAGACTTAGCTTACAAACTTTTTAGGTAGAGATACTTTTCAGACATATAGTGTTACATTACTCATTTCTCTCTGCTGAGAGCACCGCTCCATGTTTCCTGGCATATCTCCAGCCCTTTCCTGCTGGTTCACCTTTTCGAAGTTCTCCAGCCCAAAACCAGCACTTTCTCATTCTCTGCCCCATATTCCATTCCACCAAAATACAAACACTACAGCACTTGGTTTTTTGTTTTGTGGATTTTTCAGCGGAAAAATGATATGTGCTCATTATATAAAATTCTAATAGAAAATCAACAAATAAAAGCAGAGAAAGCATCGTCAAATTCCCCTACTCACAGATAAACACTTTTAACAATTTAATGTTTCAATGAAAAATTTCCTTCCAATCATCTCTCCTATCAGGGATCTAACTAGAGGGCAATTTGACCCTCTCCCTCAGGGGACATTTGGCCATATCTATAGACATTTTTGATTGTCACTACTGGGGGGTTGCTACTAGCCACTAGTGGGTAAAAGCCAAAGGATGTTGCTAAACATCCTATATTGCACAGGACAGCACCCTACAACAAAGAATGATCTGGCCCAAAATGTCAATAGTCCCAAGATTGAGAAACCTTGTTCTATATAACAGATCATACCATACATGATGTCGGGTAACATTCTTATAAGGACATATATTATAGATAATAACAGCCAACACTTATATAGCACTTACTATGTTCCGGACACTGTTCTAAGTGATTTATACCTTTATTAACTTATCCTCACAACCTTATGAGGTGGGTTTCATTTTTCTTACTTTACAGTTGAGGCTCTTACGAGGTTAAGTAATTTGCCCACAAGTCCCATAGCTAAGAAGAGCCAGGAGTTGAACCCAGAGTCCTTGTCCTTAAGCCCTATACTAATTTTATTTTCACTCACGCACAGTATGTCATCATTTGTTTCTTATGGGTGGACTTTTAGGTAGTTTCCAACTTTTTGCTTTAAGAAACAACACTGTAGTGAGTATCCTCATACATACATCTTTGCACACTTGTCAAATGAACCCATCAGGATAAATTCTAGAAGTGAAATGGCAGGGTCAAAGGATATATACACTTTAAATTTTGATATATTTTGCCAAACTATCCAAAAAAAAACTATTAATTTATACTCAAATTTTTAGTATACATTTCCTTGGTGCCTGGGAAATCTGTGTTTAATATACACAGGCTTGAACGATGCATCATCTCTATTTCCCCTCCCCCTCATTCTTCCTACCCACCTACCAACTTCTCAAAAGACCTATCTTAGAACTTCTTTTCCGGGCAAGTGCTAACAGTGGCCACCACAGTCTGGGGTGTCCCAGCCCCCTTTGATTACCCTCTCCCCCCACCTCTGACAGTAGAGAGTGAAATCTTTAAATCTACAGGGACAATGAATTCTCCTACAGAGTGAAAATAAGTCAATAGGGACAAACTCCCTCAAAATTATAAAAATAGAAAAATGGCAGGCCAATGCAGTTGGATAAACAAGCAGACTATTTAAGTTTCAAGGTAAAAAATAAAATCACATAGCTAGAGATTCTAAATGGAAGGATCTAAGAAATAAAATGGCAATTCTATAATCTACACTAATAAAAGAGAAACATGGTAATTAGCGTACGACCGCTACCCTTTTCATTGGCTAATCAGTGAGTATATGCAAATTAACTGTCAGCCAAGATGGCGGCCGGCAGCCAGGCAACTGGAAGCGAGCATGAGGTTTGCTTGCTGCAGGCTCCAATGTTCCCCGCCTCACTTGCCGGCCTCTGAGCTACAACTCTAAGAAACAATGTACTATGTTGCAAATAAGAAGATAAAAAACCCCCCAGAAACCGGCTTTCATTCAGTCGGGCTTTAGCAACATTGTATCGATGTTTTCAGCGGCCAGGCCTCAGAGCTAAAGCTGGCCCAGAATAAAAAAAATAAAAAAAGAAAACAAGGAGCGGTTGGAAGCTTCAGTCACTCGCTTCCGGAAAACAGCCCTCAGCCCCTCAGCCAGACTGGCCAGGCACCCCAGTGAGGACCCCCACCCTGATCCAGGACACCCTTCAGGGCAAACCAGCCAGCCCCCACCCATGCACCAGGCCTCTATTCTATATAGTAAAAGGGTAATATGCCTCCCAGCACCAGGATCAGCGGAGCAGCGAGGCCTCCCGGCACCGGGATCAGCGTGACAGGGGGCAGCGCCCAAACCCCCTGATCGCCCTGCGGCTCTGTGTGTGACAGGGGGCGGGGCCACAACCTCCCTATCTGCCCTGCTCTGTGCCTGATAGGGGGGAGCTCCCCAATCCCCTGATTGCCCTGCGGCTCTGTGTTTAACAGGGTGCAGCGCACCAACCCCCTGATCGGCCCTGCTCTGTGTGTGACAGGGTGCGGCGCCCCAACTCCCCCCCACCCCCCCACGGGCCCTGCTCTGTGTGTGACAGGGTAGAGCCATAACCTCTCCATCGGCCCTGCCCCGAGTGTGACAGTGGCGGCGCCCCAACCCCCTGATCGGCCCTGCTCTGTGGGTGATAGAGGGTGGCGCCCCAACCCCCCTCCACAGGCCTTGCTCTGTGCGTGACAGGGTAGACGCGCATAACCTCCCCATTGGCCCTGCCCTGAGTGTGA